TCTCTCTACTGATGGATTGATCACCCATTAGTAATGATTAGAGGTTAATAATGCTGAGCTGGAGTTCTTACTAAGCAGGACAACAAAGGTAGCCTAGTTGATCTGGCCAATCTCTAGACTTGTGACTAATAGGGTTTTGTATATAAACTACTCAGTCCCAAGTCTTGAGTTAAGCTTTTCCAAACTTAGTTACTGTATTTTACAATTCCTAACATACTGTAGCATTTCTCTTATTTACTTAATTTATTGAAAACCTGGTGAACAAGAATCATCTGTTACAGTTCTATAAGCTTACTACAAGTGTTTTTCAAAATTATTTATGTGTTTGTGGAAGGGTAGATACAATAGGGAAATGTCACAACTTAGTAGCTTTAAGTGCTTTGTACAATAGCAAATCAGCATAATTTAGAGACAGTGCATGCATCACCATATTACTTCATTTCATCATACATCTATACCTAATGTTTACACTAACTTTAAAAACACAGAGTCTTCACATTTACTTATTAGACCCATGCAGTACTATTGCTACAGTTGAAAATGTCTTATTGCATAACATTGGGAGAGGGCTAAACCCAATGCATTATACAATTTATGCATTATGACAATACATTTTGGCTGAGGACCTGAATTTTGGTCTGGCCAAAAGTCTATACATTATGCCATTTATACATTATGATGTGATGCAATAAGACATTTTCAACTGTACTATATATACTTTCAAATTTCCTCCCTTTCCAATTCAGGTATTTTGGGTATTTTATGAGGCAAAGCAATTGATTATGAATAATGCTAATGCTAATCAAAGTGTCGAAAAAAATGCAACAGAGAAGAAAGCAAGAAATGACGATGCAATGGAAGGGGGAAAAGCAATATGCAAAGACAAAGGAACAAAGGAAATGCGCAAAAAAAAGACGCGTTCGTTAAACTGTAGACAAATATGTAGAATACAGAAAATAAATGAAGAATAAATAAACTCCTCCAACCCGCCCTTTTCTATCCTCCAAGAAAGTAAGACAAGACGAAAAGTAATAACAGGAATCAAACCAGAATATCCAAAAGCAAAGCAAAGAGGAACAGAATCAAGGAATGTCCTTGAACTTGTCGGACTCGATGGCATTTAGTTCTGCATCTGCGTCTGTGTTTGAGTTTGCACCTGGGCGAAGTTCGGTAATGGTATGTTGACTAGCGAGAGAAGTATAGGATCGAAATTGACGGTCCCGCCAGTGATGCCGTTGTTGTTTTGAGCGGCGTGTCGATTCTGTTGACGCCGACGATGTTGTTGTGAGCCACCGCGATCGCGGTCGGTTGCTCGAGCTCCTCTACGGGGAGCTGCTGTTGATGAGGATGGGGCTGGGGTTGCGGCTGCTGAGCTTGATGGAGTTGACGAGGCTGGTACTGGAGGTTGGGACTGCGGCTGCAGTTGGGGCGGTAGTTGAAACTGCAGCGGAGGTTGAGACTGCAATTGCGGTTCAAGCGTTGGTTGACGCTGTGGCGGAAGTTGAGACTGCGCTTGTGGTTGTAGTTGATTCTGGGCTTGAGGTTGAGGTATATCATCGTGCTTTACCCGCTTCTCCGCGTACTTCATCCAACTCCCATTCTGCTGTACTCCGCTCGGACCAGCGGGTGAAGTGAATGGTCTTCTATCGCCCGCTTGCGAATCGACAGATTGCGCTGGGTCTGTGAATTCGACCGCCATGCTACAATCCATATCGTTCATCTGTCCAGCACCACTCGGTACGCAGAAGCCACTTGGTCCGCTGACGATTAGGACAGGCTCGTCCATGTTCACGTCGCCCGTCGGCTTCCATCCTTGTCCTGCCACAATTCCGTTTGTCGACTGGATTGGTATGTCGGTCGCCATTTGACTTGGTCCTTCAGCTGTCCATGGCTGGTGGAAGGCCGGGGATTCTGCGGTACACACACCAAGGTCAATTACCCCGCTCATTTTGTCTTCCGAGGAATAGGATCGAGACAGTGGCTTCTTTGCCCGTATATGGCAGGATATCGACTCGTCCTCGTATTTCGGAGCTTCGAGGATGACGCGTTCTTGTACCTCCTTGAAATACTGCGGGCTGTGACTGTCCTGCTTATAATCGGCTTTTGTCATCGTCTGAACATGAACGTCAGGCACCCTTTGCCTTTTGTATGTCGCTGGAATCTCTTGAGGACGCCTATTCTCCTCGTTCACCCTCACCCTCTCCACCTTTTCCTTCTTCGCCTCCTGAACGCGCTGTCGCTTTCTCAAGACTAAAGGAAGGAAGAACGGTTTCCAATTACCGGGAAAGTTAACTTTATCCAAGGGAGTGTCGGACGTCAAGAGTGTCTGTAGAATCATCTCCTGGACCTCTGGAGTCGCATATCGGGCAAGTAAAGGTCCAAACGGTCCGTATTTCGCCCTGTCTCTTCTATCCGAAATCCAGTTGTATCCTTTCTTCGGGCCACGACTCAGTGGCCATCCCTTTAGAAAGGTAGCTAAAGCCGCATTATCTGGTTTCTCGGTTATCTCGTCTTCGAGCTTCTCAAACCCGCCGATGCGTGAAGCAAGATCCGCAAGCGCAAGTCCAAGCATATGTCGGCTGTTCTTCCATGAGACAGCATCGGCGAGATCGATCCAGCCGTGGAAGACCATGTACAAGATTGCGCGAGGCGTACAACTGTATTCAAGCTTATATTCCGATCGACTCTTCTTCACTACTACGTTTCGTACTAGGTGGAACCACAGAAATGCGGAATGCAGGTAGGCTGGGAGTAGGTCAGGCCCGTAGGAATAACGACGAAGAGGCGGAGAGGACAGCAAGGAACAAGTCGATTCCACTTCATAGTTACTTGCTACTTCAGAAACTCGTAGATTGTTGCCAGTTTCCCGATAACTCTTAGAATCGCTTACCACCAGAGAAGGACATTTCGGTGAGGGAGGTAGATCATTGACGGGTTTTTTAAAGCGGAATTCTTTCTTCCCAATCTCCGGATCTGTACTCTCGCCATAATGCATCTCATATAGTCTTTCGCCGTCCTTCTGCGCCTGCACGCGCGCCTTCTTCCTGTCGATCATTTGTTTCTGGTGGTTGTTGAGGTATGAGATTATGCAAACTTCCATGAGCGTATTGAACTGCAGACTTACCATCTGAAGCCGTCGCTTCTGTTTTGGGCTCATTTCAATTGGGAGAGCGAAATTAAATCGGACGTGTCGCGTCTGCTTTCTATGTGGCTTTGGTGTGTTGAGTTGCGAAGAAGTACGCCATGCCCCAGGCAACGTGTTGCAGCATTGTTCTTCTATTTCATCCAACTCCTCCTCCGGGCTGCCAACGTCTTGTTGGAACCAAAATGACAGGGCTGTTTTGAAGATGGAGAACATGTGTGGGATGCTGGATCAGTGTAGGGGGATGCAAAGTTAGTATTCTACGTGGCTCGAGCAGTCACACGAATTAAACCACGTACCGGTTCACTAATCCGGATCTCGAGACCTGAGTGGCTCAACAGCAATTAAGTATTTTGCACAAAGGGAATTATTGTCGAGCTCCGGGTTACGCAGACGTGCAGAGGGCAGGTAGGTGTATGCGGGTAAGAAGCAAGAGCTCTTCCTTTTATCGATGTGGTTTTATGTTAGAAGCGGCCTGCGCTTTGGCTTTACAGGGCCCATTTCGATTACGTAATGCACTAGATGAGGAAGAGGAGGGGGGCCACGAAAGCGTCGGGCTTGACTTATAAGTCCTAAGGAAAGACAAGCGTCGACACGAGGCATCCTGAGGCAGTGGACTCGTGGTGGGCCACGCTATATGTGCACTGCTGTAATGTACTGGGTAATATTAGTATGTGCGTAATGAATATAAGAAAAGCACGCTTAATAATACCATCGAGTTGAGTAATTTGACCATTGAGGTCCTACATTATCCTATGTCAAAATACATATCAAAGCTAAGCAACGCTCGAGGAACTTTGAATAAAGTCATCTTTTTGTGTAGAGGAGGTGGTGATGGACGGTGACAGAGTTGAAGCTAAGCCGAGCTGAGACTCGGTGAGACGCGACCAAACTTGGTTCCGGCAGCCATCATGCCATCATCATCCTAGCCCGCCTTCTTCCCCGTCTTTCTTGTTTCCCTTTCTTCGTCGTCAACTTCTAACAGCGCCTATTTGCTCTGGCTTGTTTCGTACTTTCGAGCGGAACAACACGCACGGAGTGGCCGCACTTTATTTTATTACTACGAAAGGACCGTTTGGTTCCCTCATTAGTATCTGGAGGTACAAGGAGGTTCAACTGACATGGATGCGGAAGACCCCATGCTTGTACAAACCACCAGTGCGTCAGAACCTCCTTACAATGAGCAACGTGCAAAGCGCCACTTGCGTGGTTGGCTGAGCTACGCTTTCGCAAGGTGAAGATACTTTCCGTTCTCCTTTGGATCGATTAACTAATCCCGTAAAGTGAGGTCTTTGTGGTAGTCTCCTTAACGCTTTTCCTCCCCATTTGCCTCGAGCAGTTTGCACGGGATAATGGTGCCCTGCTTCCGGACAAGACGCTGCCATGCACGACGGCCAAGACCGCGCCATTGAACACAAGGGATGATGCTGAGGAGAGATGCGTTGTCAAGATAGGGTGGATTTGGATTGACAGCGCTAGCTTTAGGTTAGTGCTCTTTATGTGTGCGCTTCATGATTTTAACGTATGATAGTTTGTATGTCTACTCAATTTCCGTCGCGCTTCAGGCTTTGACAGTCATTTCTATGGGCGGGATCGCGGATCATCGTACGTCGTGTTCCTCTAACCTTCTACTATGGTGCAACTCAACATGCTATGTAGCTCCTCACCGGAAGCGTGCTCTCCTCCTGTTCGCTGCCTTGGGCTCAATATCTGCGATGCTCTTTCTCGCATTACCGTCCTCTTCTCCGGTCTGGGCACTGGCGGCGCTGTTCGCCATCCTGGCCAACGTCGGCTTCGGTGCAAGCGTAGTCGCAATGAATGCCTATCTACCGACTTTAGCTCGTGAAGACAAAGAAGTCGTCGCGGCACTTGAGACCTTGCGTACCTCGGAGGATGGGCACACATCGGAGACGGACAGTCAAGAGCTAGCGTTTGACGAAAATTCGCATGAAGAGCCTCTCCTTTCGAGGAGAAATGTATCTATGGATGCCCAGGAGTTGCGAGAGAAGTATACCACGCTAGTATCCCAGACAACGTCTCGAATATCTGGATCAGGTATTGCCCTGGGATACTTTGCAGGGATTGTCGCTCTCATTATCGCTTTAATACCTGTAACGTTGATGAGAGGCTCGACCTTCTCCCTTCGTCTCGCTATCTTTGCCAGCGGATTATGGTGGGCGCTCTTTACGCTTCCAGCATGGTTATGGCTTCCTGGTGCAGCATCCGCGGAAATGAAGGAATCTTCGGAGCTTGATAGTCGTTTCAGCTTGAAGCGTGAATTAGGCAGAGCATGGCGACGTCTCGGACAAATGCTCCACTGGAGAGAAGTCAAAAGGTTAAATCATACATTCCGTTTCCTCGGCGCTTGGTTCTTGCTTAGTGATGGCTTCACAACCATCACGTCTACCGCGCTTCTCTTCGGCAAGACACAACTCCACATGTCTGCAGGTTCACTTGTAGTCGTCGGGCTACTTGTCAATGCTGCAGGTATCCTGGGTGCACTCGTATGGCCACGAATTCAACGCTATCTCAAATGGTCGAATAAACGTATCCTTATCGTTCTCGTGTTACTCTGCAGCTTCATCCCACTCTACGGATGTTTCGGTTTCCTGCCTTTATTCCACTCAAACAGTTCCGAGGCGATAAACCTTCTCACGACTCCGCGTTTCGGTGGCCTAACAACCCCGGGCGAGATGTTCGCTCTTGCCGTCTACTTTGGTACAGTCTATGGCGCTTTCCAGGCGTATGCACGTGCGTTTTATGCTGAACTCGTTCCAAGAGGTGAAGAAGCAAGGTGGTACGCATTATACTCTATCACGGATAAGTCGAGTTCGTTTTTGGGACCGCTTGCTGTGGGGCTAATAGCGGATAGGACGGGGAATATTAGGTATGCGTTTTTCTTCCTTGTGGGGATGATTTGGAGTGCTGTGCCGTTGCTTGGGAGTGTAAATGTGGAGAGGGGGAGAGAGGATGCGGAGCGGTATGTTCAGCGATGAGTCGTTTGATATATTTAGCACTTGGACAACGTAGAGATGGGTATTGTAATTTGTTGCATTTGTAGTATAATAATTCTTGCAGTTTAATCTTATATTATTCACTCTGCTGAGGCAACGCGTGACACGACGCGCGTAGCGTCACGGCCGAGTATGTAATCCAAATTTGTTGGCGCGCGTCTGTCTCCTGTTGGGTTCTGTCTTCTCTCCTCCTCTCTCCTCTTGAGCGTCTGTCCTGCAGTATTGCCAACTATGAGTGACATCGACAAGAAGCCCGACATCAAGCCCGATGTTACCAACGAGAAAATCATGCTTATCGTCCGGCATGAAGAAAAAGGCCCGCATATTTCCATCTCTCACTCGATCCCCGTCCATCACCTAACTAGCTGCACAAACAGAAGTCAAGATCGCCCTCAAGCCGCATCATCAAATGCAGAAGCTCTTCGATGCAGCTGGGGTGAGTGTTGTAGACTCCGTCGTTGCTAATCAAATCAAATCACTGAAGAATGATCGTATTCGTCTATGGTGTATAGAAAGCATTCCAAATGGACGCGAGTACGTAACCAGCTTTCCTGCTGTAATACGCTTTTGAATTTTGCGTCGTTCTTACTTCTTTCTATCATGTTGTCTTTAGAAACGCTCAAGTTTGTATATCATAATCAACGATTGAGACCGAATGATACAGCGGCGGACGTACGTAACCCTTAATGCACTCCTTTTTTTGTGTCCAACATCTCACTGTCACTTCGCCTGTGCTCAGATGGAAATGGAGGATGGAGACGAGATTTCGGCATTCTTGGAGCAGGTGTGTTCGATGGCCTATTGGATAAATGCCTCAGTGACGTACTTACTATTTGACATTCGTATACAGCTCGGTGGCACGATTTGGTCGTGGTCGTAATTGTATCATGTCGCCGTTCACATACGGCACTGCGCCTACGTACACGTGCAGCGAACGAACACCCTAACACCTAGAAACCCAGACTATGTTTCTCAGAAACCAAATCCCGATGATTGATTGATTTTGTTTTGTGTGCGTTCGCTAACTAGAATCAATCATTGATGGGGAGTTGTATTATCATATTGTTTCTTTCTTCACCTCTTTTTTGTTGGCTGGGCCTTGCTCATTGTTTGTTTTCATCCTACTGTATCGCATCCCAAAATTATATCCTATCGTTCACATAAGTAATGCGACGATTGTGATAGGCAAGCTGCGTGATGATTCTGCGGTTGCGATCTAACGATGTTCAACTTATGGCGATTGCCACAAAAACGAATGTATTACATATCATCCCACTGAAATTACATCCAACTACATCAAATTTACGAGATTAGAGCCAACAGCACAACAAGCCGCGCCGCAGTCACTACTCTCTACAAAGAACGCCCGCAGTATATTGCTGACAAGAAGCAAAGAGAGATGCATACCAGTGCCAGAAGCGCGGCTCGCGCACATATATCAAAATAGAATATCCCGACCACAATACACCAGGAAGTTTCGTGAAGAATAAAAGAGAAGGGGAAAGCAACCACTTCAGACTTGGTTAGCTGCTTTAAGGGTATACACTATAGTAGCTTCGTGTAGCCTGTTTACGCAGAGACGCTGGCGGTCGGTGGTGCCGTTGCGGAAACAAGAGACGGGTCAATTGATGCGGAGGGTGCGTCAGTTGGTACGATGAACGATGCGGAGTCCGTTGGAGCGGGACCGAGACCACTGCCGCTGAAGCTCGGGTCAGTACCGTTTGGGCCCGGACCACCTGGCGCAGGAACTGCACTGCCGCTTGGTAGAGCGGGGAAGTCAGAGCCTGAAGGGAATGGGGGAGGGATCGGCGCGGAACCAGATGGGTCAGTGAACCCGAGTCCACTACCATTGCCACCTTGCGGAGGGAACCCAGAGCCCGAGGGTGCTGGGAAGTCGAAGGACGCACTGCCGCTTGGTGGATCGGAAGGTACTGGTGGCAGCACAGAACCACTTGGGTCCACTGTTGGGACAGCAGAGAGAGAAGCGGAGTCGGACGCGGAGGCCTGCCGTTTGGTGAGCGGCTGTGCGTTGTTGTTGTTATTGTTGTTACCGTTTGGGACGTTTGTGTTCGTTCCAGCTGGGTCTGGTGCACCATTTGTGGGTATGTTGGTGCCAGTAGGTGGGGGATTTCCGTTGGTCAGTGTACCAGTTTGCGGCGGCGCTGTACCCGTCGGCGTGTTCGTGAACGTCCCAGTGGGCGGGGGAGGAGCGTCGGTACCGGTGAGAGTTCCTCTCGGAGTTCCGGTGCCTTGGCCTTGATTCTGGGCTGCCCGACCGAATGCACGCGCAGTCACACTACCCGGGACAGCAGTGAATGCTGGGTCGGTACTGGGAACAGCACCACTGAAGGCGGGGTCCGTGCCGGTTCCGTTGTTGGGCGGTGGGGGTACACCGCTAGGCCCGCCTGGGAACGCTGAGGCGGAGCCGCTGGGAGGTGGTGGGGGTACACCGCTAGGTCCGCCTGTAAACGAGCCGCTGGGAAGTGGGAATGGAGGTGCACTTCCACCTGTTAGGAAACATCATGTCAGTCATAGCGCACAAAAGTTAGAGTGTTTACAACAGGAGATGGACGAACTTTGGCGCTTAGCAAGCTCTTTATTCGCAAGCGGATGCGCAATCGCCGTGCTTGCAACGAGCAAAGCAGAGAGCAAGGAGAAAGATGTGTCAAGCTTGACCATTTTCAGAAAGATTTTGGCTCGGATGGTAACGAGAGAGATGAGTTGCGCGAGTGCTAAGTAGAAAAAGATTGGTTTCGTCTTGGTCGATTGGAGAACTACCTGATTAGATGCGATGAGAAGTAGAGAGAATGCGTTTTGTGAGGAACTATGTTGCCTCAACACAGGTCACTTTTATACTGTTAGCATCGTTAGCGAGATACCTTCGGAACCGTGCGCAGCAGGTATCCTTCGCAAGCCGATCAGCTTCTCACTCGTGCTGCGGGGCCGTTTCGTCGTAAGGACATTTTCTAGGTGAATTTTGCGTAGCATAGCTCGTTGGAGTTGTGCACAGCAAGTCAGAACACTCGCGCGACATGAGCGGAGAAATATCTTTGAATTTAGTAAACGGAGCCCGCGCAGTTGTTTTGCGTTAGATTGTTGGCTATGCCTGGGAAGACTCGCAGCAGTAAGGCTTCGTGGCTCTTCAATTTTCTTCAATTTTTTACGAGGTCTACGGAAACTAGGCTCCATTTAGGTTGTTCAGCAAAACTATAGAGATATTGGAGAGAACCTCTGTCGTTTCCGGGACCGTGTTAGTTGAGTCTGAGAGCTTCCCGAAGAGAAAGAGTACGGAAGAAGTCGATAGTAAGAGGATGAAGATCTTTGTTCCATCAGACAGTAAATTGGAGTTAATTCACGAGGATCATAATGACTTGCGAGGACGAGATTTACCTTGATTTCTGAGTGGGGCGCGACGCAGCAGTGATAGCCGATCAGCCGCTGAAGCAAATGGCATAAACAGATACAAATGATGACACACAACCCGCCGAAAAGACTAATTAGACCCTGAAAGAGACTTTTTGTTGAGATTAGGAAGCTTCGGGAAAATAAGAAACCGTGTACAGATATATTTTATTACTCGTATATATATTACAAAATATTGTACCTAAGTTTATAACAGATTACTAACAGTACTTTATTCCAAGTCCAAACAACTTCCAAACAAGAATCAAGACTAAGAATACAATGCTCTGAATTGTTTCTACATTAATTGCACACAATTTCCAATATTGTAGATTGAATAGAAAAAAGTGTTGGACCTATGGATTTAGCAACCTGGGTCATACAGACAATGCTTATTTGGAAGTACCAGTGATATATAGTATTAATGTTGAGAAAAGACATTCATAAGTTCTTTTACACACGAAATCATGTATACAATAGTCAGTACGGAATATTCTCTACCGTCTGCACACAATCTGTCTACAGTGCATTTAAATTGATTTATCCGGATAAACTTCTTTAAGCAGGGACGCAGATGATGGATGGCCACCATATCTTGTTCACAGGATTCTCGCGAATCTCGACCAACTTCCATCCACTCGCTTCAACAATACTTGCAAATCCATCGACAGTACGCTCTGCAGAGTGAAGCATTGACATGAGCTAGAATTGTACATGTGAGAAATACATCGTCAATGCTGTTACAATCCGAAGTAGTTCGTACCACTATATCGACCTCGTACGCGAGCACGTTCGCTCCGCCAAGGTTAGGCAAAAGTGGCTTCGGTGGACTCATGGCAGCATCAATGCCCGGCTTCCGTGGTGTTTCGCACGCATAACTGATGACACTGTCGATGATAACGAGCTTCGTGTCTGAACCGGCTGTATTGCGCAGGTTGCGGAGAAGCTTGATACAGTATTTATCGGACCAGTTATGGAGAACCGCACGTATCAAGAAGACATGGGGCATTGCAGGCAACGCTGGCTGTGGCTCGAAGAAGTCGCACCCTTCAGGCAATTAACAGTTAAATCGACGGACCTGACTAAGGAAAAGAGAAACAAGGACAGACCAACGAAGTGCACTTTGCCAGACTCGATGTGCGATGGGAGACTTGCCTTCCAGTACTGCACGGGTCGTTAGCGCCTGATGCACTCAGAACATCTGGAACGATTAATTACATTTCTGGCGCTTTCCAGGGTCGCTGGGCGGTCCTCGATGGCAACATTCAGCTCAGGAAATGCCTTGGCAATTTCCAATCCGACATGACCTGCCCCGCCTCCAACATCAACCACCAGACCCCCATTGGGAACCAAATTCCAATCAAAGCCTGAAGATCCAGTTAATACAAACCACTTATGCCTAAATTTCCTTACCAGTCAAAACAGCCTGAGGCGGATGAAGCTTTAAGTAGGCCGACATCGCTGCGTCGAACCGATTTCCACGATAGTGTCCCTCAGGAGAATCGTAATACGACCACAGGTCAAGTTGTACACCCAAACCCTTTTGAAGACCTGCTTCATTTACCTCCTCGGAGAAGGCTGTCTTCGGGTCAAATACAACGTCTTCGAAATGAGCGGTCGCTTTGAACGGCTCATCAGTGCTAAGCAGATACAATCAACAGATGCAGCAAGTTTATAAGTCAGGTAAACTACCTATATCCTACGAGAGCAGCAAGACCGGGTGTTTCTTTATGTTTGTTCAATGCACTGTCGTTGGGTCAATCAGTGAGGGTCAGCATAAACCGTGCTCGCGTAGACGACCTACAAGTCCGGGGTCACTTCCTTGCCAGTATCAAGAAGGGAAGACAGCAAGTTAGTCGCGAATACGTCTGGCGTCACTTCCTTGAACCAATGGTTTGTAGCGAGGAAGCGGAGGACGCGTGCTGTGGCGTACATCAACTTCTGGACTGGAAATTTCAGCTACCAAAGGATCCTTACCGAGCTTCTTAGGATCAATGTTGCTCTTGGACGCAATCTCGTTGACATGCATCCCCTAAACAGAATCAATATTTGTTTGAAAATGTTAGGGTTCGAAAGCATATTGACTAGCTACCTTTGGTCCTGCAGATCTAATGGTCTCGGCCACGTTCGCCCTTTCCGCAATGCCAAGTGCGAGTGGTAGTGTGTGCTGTATTAAGTGCAAGCATTGTCAATACTTTTTAAGACAAGAATGTCATTAATGTGAGCTCATGACACTCACCCTGACTGCATCTCTGGCCAGTGTAATCGCAGGAGGTTGGAGCGTCTGGATGAGCTGGAATGCAGCAGCTACAGCAGGGCCAATTGCTTCTACAACTTCAGGGTTGTTGCGGATCCCGTCAGGCGTGAATTCCGAGATCTGGACAGGCTGATCCAAGGAAGGAAAGTCCTTGTCGGTCACAGCACAGACCTGGTTAATCTTGTCGATAGAGGTAGAAATAATATTGCAAAGAGCTTTCAGTTCAGCAGTCATGTTGGACGTTAGTAAGACTCTTGGGGAAAGACCAGGCAGCACTCAGACTTAATATTCCCATCCCCTGACAGCACAAGCTGTCGGCTTCTTGATAATAATAGATTCACTTGATACTGGTCCCTCACCGTGGTTTGCATAAGGCCGGCAGTTCTGGCAGTTCCAAGCAAAACATCACTCCAGTAGACAGAGTCTTGATAGAGAGGGTAGACTGTATGACCCTAGTTCTTATAATGGCAAATAGTAAATTTATGTTCGATGGTCTCTGGAGCGGATCTGATGCATATTGCATCCATCGGGAGTTTTGACGGAAAGAGCTGATAACCAAAGTACTGGCCAGGGAAGGACTCAGGATCCTTTCAAGATGGAAGCACTAGTACTGTTGTGGTACTAATTTTCCATTCTGCAGTCGATCATTGATAAGAATCGAGGCCTGTCAGTTGTCCAGAGGATAGGTTATGTTGTCTGTCGTTTTCGGGATCGCTCTGGTTTAGCTGACGGCCTGGCGGGTGGAAAGAACACTATTGATACCAAGACAATGCGAACTTAGACTCAAGCAGGATTGTGGAGTTGGAGTAGTCCATGGAGATCATAACTGGTATGTGACGGGTTCCGAGGACTGAGTTTTCTGTGTGAAGGCTGGCGACAGCAATGGTGGCGACTGATCAGCTGGGAGGCCGGGACCGTTCGGCACAAATTGACATAAATAATGATACACAAACGGCGCCAAAGTTCTGATAAGATTTGCTGACAAAGACATTCTTTGTCAGGATCCATACCCTACAGCTTTGGGATTCCGTTTAAGTGAACAATCTACATGTTTACATGCAGCTAACTGTTCAAGGAATTACTAGTTCTCCTTCTAGTCTACCAGTAAAATTCGGTTCTATGGGTGTATACAAAGATTAAAACAAATATAGGGGGAAAAGCAAGAAGTAAAGGGGGGAAAAAGGATTCGTGATATTAAAGACGTCCCCTCTACTGCATGATGATGACCAGCAAAAGTGCCAGTGTACGTCGTATTGAGGCTTAGAGGATTAAAACGTGTGTAACAGGAGAAAACTCAAAGGATGCCGATCACGCATGCATACAAAGACAAACAAAAAATGCAAGGAATTTGTGAGCGCCGAAGACTCCTTAAAGCTTCTTTCTCTCATGTGTCGCACGCGTTCGAAACGCTTTCATTTCTGACAATACTATTATTTCGTGCCTGTCTCAGAACCTGACGCCGCTGCGGTAGGTGGCTTCGGATCTTCTCAATATTGCTGTCCTGTATGACGAATGACAAAATGAAATGCTGCTTGTGTGGCTCTCTGGAATATCCAAATGACAATTCCTTTACGATATGTTTACACGGTCATTATATGACTGATTGGTTATTCGTTTCGAAGACTTCCGACTCGGGTGCTTATTGTCTGATGCCGGGGACCTTTAAAGTCTTTCTCGAGACGGTACTTTCTGCAATCTACAAGGACTTATCACCCAGGATCAGTCACTCTTCAATTCTAACATGTCGAGCTCAGACAAGCCAATCGTTGCAGTCGTTGGCGCTACAGGCGCACAAGGCGGAAGCGTCGTCAATTACTTGCTGAATGACCCTGATCACTCCTTCCGAGTCCGAGGACTTACGCGGAACATCGACTCCCCCAAAGCAAAAGGTACTGTAGTCTGTAGGTGACATGCTCACTGTGTTAATTTTATTAATTCTCTGCAAAGTGCTAGCCGCGCGAGGTGTGGAGGTTGTCAAGGCCGACATGGATGATGTAGCTAGCTTGCGCAAGGCGTTCGAAGGCACTTACGGTGTTTTCGGCGTTACGAACTGTAAGTATATCCTTATCATATTTAAGCTGTAGGATCCTAACTCATCACTCTCAGTCTGGGAATTGTTCGACGAAGAAAGAGAAATCCAGCAGGGAAAGAATCTTGTCGACGCAGCTTTATTGGCTGGAGTGAAGCATTTCGTGTGGTCCTCACTAGACCATACGGGCGATCCTGTTCTCGTCAAACATTGTAACACAAAGGCAGTTGTCGATGATTACCTCAAGGAGAAGAAGATTCCACGAACTTCGTAATTACCCTCTCCCGTTGAGTATGATGTCGGGTCCCGGTACTGAAAATTTTCTAGAATATTCACTGTGTTCTACTTTGAAAACTTCTTATATCTTTTTCCACTGAAAAAGGTTGTCGGTAAAGTCATTGCAGACTGGCCGCTGATGTGGACAGACGGTCCACTGGGTGGATATAGCGTCACTGAAACAGGAGCCTATGCTCTTGCGGCTTTCAAGAATCCAAACGAATGGATTGGTAAGCGAGCAAAGTCCGTCCGAAGCCGCTGGGGTTTGCTAATTCTGCATGATTTGACGTAGGAAAAGACATACGTGTTCTTTCACAAGTAATCACCCCTCGGCAATTCGTCCAAGCGGTGCGCGACGTGACTGGGAAGGACGTCGAGATTGTTGAGATAGATCGCCCCAAGTTCAATGAAACGAAGGAAAGTAATTATGAACTCTGGAGCAAGTAAGTCGTTATTACACCTGACGCTGTTCAAGTCTAACGAGTCGCCCTTTCAAATTCGTTACTCCGTAGCATGGGTATGTCAATCTGGATACTATCTAAACAATAATGGGTTAACACCAAGGTTAGAAATGTTCTATATTACGAACGGCAACCCAAATCGAGACCCGGACCTCACCCTCCGACTCAACCCATCCCGCATGGACATACGCGCTTTCGTCGAGGCTAATAAGGAAGCTTTCCTAGCCATATTCAACTCTTAGTACGTTACTCAATGTTTTTTATTTAAAGAAAATATAGGTATCAGACTAACTCTTAGGGTATAGGCACGTCTTCTATATAAGTTGCTTGAAATCGGAAGGGGTGGCACGAGTAATAATGTCGAGCAAGTGTGTTAATAGGCAGATTGTGTCATAACATGCACAAATTTTGTTTTTTAATCTAAAAAAATTGACATGTAGAATGAAAATATGATTGGTTTTCTTCAACATAAACTGTCGAGCATAGTCCGTTTTCTCTAAGAGCGAAGCAGTGTCAAAGCTACATGTGATTCGACAGCGGCTTGCACAAAACAATATTTTATAAACAATTAGAAGTAAACAAGGATAGACAAAGATATAATGAACTAGCAATGAGGCAAATGATACGCTGCTCAGACTGCCAATGCACACAATCCATAGTATCTGAACACCAAATTTCACCCTCATAGTAATCTTCCAGGCGGAACGTCCCTCACACACATACAATTAATAAAACGACAAGCGCAAACACAAGCAGCAGCAAACCGCATACCGCTCGCGCAGCGCTATCGTAGCATCAAATTCCATATCGAAAATTCATGAAACACGTATGTACACACGTAAGGACGGACATAGTCATAATTTCAGCAGGTAACAGGTGCAAGTTCGAACGCAAACGAAACGAAACAAGGTGCAGCGAGGCAGAACACTCAACAAAGCGACGTGGAGAAATGGCGGACGACATTATCGAACAAGGTGAAATAGAATTTGAACGGGAGGAAGGGAGGAAAAGGAATAATATGGACAGGGGATACCTGAATTAGAATTAGAAACTAGAAGGACACTGCATAAAGGGGCTGGCTGAAGTCTGGGTTCTGGGGACGAATACTTGTCGATGTGTTGTAATAGCACGACCAGTATAAGTAACACCAACCCACCCAGCCAAAACAGAGAATAAAGTGAATTAAGGAGTAAAAAAGAACAAATGCCGAATCCGAGAATGTGCAATAATACGAGATCAAGTCATGTATGTACAAACGAGATGCTAAAATGATGGGGTATTAATGTCATGTCGGGTTATGTGGATTGCTTGGGGTAATAGAGAATGCAAGGTGAGGGGCAGAGTGCAGAAATGAGGTAGTGAGCCTGGAAGAGCTCAATATATACACTGAACAATGAGAATGAAGTCTAGAGCAGCAAGCCATGAAAAGAAGAAAAAGAAAAATCGAGAAAGCACAGATCGAGAGACATTACGAGGGCAGATAATAAATCGAGAATATACCATGGAAATTGAAAAGAAACAGCTAGAAAAAATGAAATCCGACCGACCGACCACGCACAAGCCCAATTATATAGAGTAACGGTATGAGAAATGTCTTGGAGGGTAATAGCGGGAATGATGATGGAGGTATAGGGGATGTCAATTGGGTTTGACGGCTCTGAGAAGCGTCTGACTCGAGAATAGAATAGAAATATGAAACAGAGAAATAAAGAAAGGCGCTGCATATGTTGGGTTTCAGAATGCAAGACTGAGATTGCAGTTGACGCCCAACAGGGAAAACGATAAAGTAAAATGAAAAACAAATCCGATCCGTTGGTGGGCATCGAAGGGACCCACAGAGCCCCATCTAACCTGACCCGAGAGATTCATGATGATTATCGTGACAATTTCCGCGCGTAACACTCGTCCTCGGCGTTATTCGGAGTAAGATATTATCGCCTTAGTGAAGCGGTGTCGTCGTGAACAGTTCCTTTGGCCTGCCCATATTAGGCAGCACAGGCACAGTCGGGTGCGCACGAGCTTGAACAGCGTCAAAAGCAGCCTTGACGCGCCTCGAGACGGCGTCCTCGAGATGTACGTCGGTATCGCCAGCCAAGGTCGATCCCTTGTGACATCCCGCGGCATGCTTCCACCAATAAATTTCCTTGAGCTGTGATGATGAAGAATGATAAAAGAAAAATTTGCGATCGATTAGTATACATTTTGATTCTTGATTTCGGAATAAAAATAATCATCGTCGGAAATCGATGCTAATCGATTTGCGGAGCTATCTCAATTCTCTCATACGATCGTCAACGATAAAGCGCACGGATGATCTCATCCGATAGATCGTTATAAGATCGTATGAAAAAAAGTTTAAACGGAGCGTGCCCACAACCCAGACTTTGCATCGACTCCCGACGATAAAGAGGAAGATACCCACCTTGGCCTCGACACACTTGACACCTTCGACAGCTGCCCACTCCTGGCATCGATGACATTTGCCCTCCAAGATTTCGCTCTTCTCATTCTTATGGTTCGGCGAGCGTGACACAGTACGGAACGCAATGGGCGGTGAGAACGGGAGAGCTGTTATCGGCGAAATGCCATGCGCATACTGCATGTGGTAGCTGGGAACAGGCAAGCACAAATCAATTAGTAAGGCTCGATAACAGGAAAGGGAGAAGGACAAAAAAAAGGTGAATCGACTTACTTGAATGCAGAAAATTTCATGCTCAACCACTCTGCGCGCCCAGCACCTCCACGCTCAGGACTCTCATAACAGATTGGACAGAGACCAACTTTGTCGCGACCCACGCCCCTCACGAAGCGGGGCGTATACAGATCCTCTGCAGTGCGAGGCATATTGAAGTGCCCGGATGAAGGGGGAGCCAACATCCCATTTTCATTTTCGGATGCGGAATTCGACGAGGAAGAAGCCGGAGAGCTCCCATAGGGTGTAAAGGAGAACGAACTCGGATCTGTGTATCCACACATAGGGAACTTGCGATACAGCAACGGGAAACTGGCGTGCAACGGAACGTCTGGAGGGAAGGTACGGACTGGCATGTTCATTGCCGCAGCTCCTCCTTCAATGTTGATTGACATGCCTTTGACGTTAACATGTGCCTTAGACTTCGACGCACTCGTCTTCGCAACGGAAGCAGAGGTGGGCGCAGCTTTGGTACGAGCACTACGAGCCGATTTCTTTGGCGCATAATCGGCATCCTCGTTGGATGACTTGGCATCTTCCACTTCCGATGATGTACTCGAAAGTGACGACAGTTCTGACTCATCAACATCCATCTCATCATTCTCAGTCTTCTTTACAGCGGCGGACGCTGAAGAGGCTCTCGAGCTCTTGCCAGATGAAGCAGCTTTCTTACTCAAAGTACGGACAGGTGATGGACGCGCTGAAGTCTTTTCGAGAGACGCATGGCTACGAAGCGTCTTTATCTCTGACAAATCCTTCTTTGCTTTGGCCAATGCCACCTTCTCCGTCGCAATCCGAGGTCTCTTTGATGGAGTCCGGCTACCACAGTCGCTCGACGTAGCGACAGACTCAGAGTCACCGTCGTCGATATCCTTAAATGCGCGCTTCATAGCACGTTTTGGTCGGGTAGCCTTCTGGTTCTGACTCTGTCCTGACAGGGGTGTCTCTGCACGCCTTGGAGAGTTTAGTTCGATACGACGTGTGACGCTGACACTAGCAAGCATATCTAGTCCGCCGTTTTCTGCTGCATTTGCACTTGTATTCTCTCCACGTAATCCACGACGGATGAGTAACAAGTCAGCCTCGCGTTCGCGCTCCTGAATCTCTGCCTTGAGGGTGCGCAACTTGCTGCGAGTTCTGTATCGATGCCCTTCTTCCTCAAACTCCAGTGGACCGCGTGCCAGTCCGTCAACAAAGCTTGGTGTAATAGGCTTGCCATTGGCAATGCCTTCGGAACCAGGTGCAGGTGTCTGCTGGTAGGGAAGCTGTACGCGCAGTAAGGAAGGAGAGAACCTGTGCGGAGGGATCTGCTTCCGGCGAACTTTCGGTGGTTTCGCATGCGAGGCAGTGCTGCGAACGCTCAATGCCGATGCTGGACGTGAGACAGGCCGCGATGGAGGATGAGATTGCGGTGCTGGGGAAGCAACAGTCGAACGACTGAGTGGATGAGAAGGCGTTGGCTGCCTAGAGGCAATCTCCGCAAGTTCTGAAAGTGCGCCGAGTGCGGACGAAGGACGCGAGGACGGAGGTAAAGGGGAGAACGGACCAGAGCCCTGGCGCGGCTGGGGAGCAGCAATGCGGAAGGGCGACTCTATGCTCTCGATAGGTTTTGCTTGTGCATTCGTAGGACGCTCGGGAGAACCAGAGACGCTCATGCTTGTTTCCGTGATGGGAGAAGCACCCCGGAGTCTGTCGATCAGGGTGTGCATTTGTCCAGATTTTTGGGCCGACGCCTGCGTCCGCTCCTGGGATTCGTCTGCACCGGTGAGGGTTGTTACAGGAGTCGACTCGCCCTCGCCAATAGGGCCGGTGAGCGTCTGAAAGGGGAGCGGTGAGCCGCCGTGCGAGATGGGCGATGTAGATGAAGACGAGTTCGGAGCTGGAGCACTCATATACGGAAAATGGTCTGTGGCCAGTGACAAGAGCAAGCTTGCATCCGTAGGGCCGGAGCTAGACGTGCCCTGGACATGCGTATCCGCGAGTGGATCGGGCAGATGGTGGGTATTGTCAACGGAAACAGTGATGGATGGCATCTGGGCCGGGGCCTGTGTCTGCTGAAAATTAGAGTTTGCAGCGTAAGGGCTCGGCTGGGCGTAGTGCGCAGGCACCGCAAAAGGCGACGAGTACGGCAAAGGCGAATTCGCTAGAAAGTCGTTTCGCGCGTTTGGATTCGTGACGTACTGCAACGGACTCGGAGTTGGGACGAAAAGATTAGTGGGAGGGGTGTACGGTCCAGCGACGGGCGACATCATGGCGACCTGATGCACGTCAGACACAAAAGAATATGCAAAGAAAAAATGGTGGCTGCGGGCCACTGAGAGGACTTACCTGAGCGGGAGACATGTGCAGCCAGTCTGCAATGTTCAGCTCGTGCGCATGAGCGGATAACTGAGCGTGTGGAGCGTGTACGCCGTGCGGAGAGCAACGCGTCGCGGGAGGTTGCGCGTGCTGCTGCGCTGGCGCGTGGGCGTGAGGATGCACGCCGACTGCGACGGAATGGGAGTGCTTGAGAGGAGTATGGAGCATTATTGGTATTAAAAGTAGCGTTGTAGTCGAGGGTACGGGTAGAGCATGGGCGTCGGGGGCGGGTGCGACGGGGAGGAGGAGGAGGAGGACAAGGATAGCTGCAGAGAAAAGGCTTATGGAGGCGCGCTGTATGCGTTTTCAGCCCTGAGAAGTAATTATGTAAGACGGTATCAAAAACGTGTTTCTATCGACTTTTCCTTCCGCGTCTTTGTTTGTTGGCCATCAGCCACTCCGATACACTCTCCGATGCACACTTACTTTGTATTTGCTGTATCACTCACTTCGTCTTGATTTCTCGATGTCGACGTAGCGTACTAATGTCACTGAAAACTCCTCTTTCTCACTCGGTCAGTCTAAGTCGCTATGCGGCTGTTGCTGCTCAACGCATACATTTGTGTCTGTGTACATGCCTCCCACGAATGCGCGATGTAACGTGCGTACCTCGAGGCTCTCGTACTCGCTTCTTAGCCACCCCGAAATCGTACGATACCACTTGTTTTGCCTTCTGATTGGACATGTTTTGTTTGCCGCAACACTCTGTGTGTGCAAAAGACACTACAAATTGTACTGTATTTGCATACAACAAACTTAGGACTCAACGTTTTAATTTGAACCCTACAAAGCCAGCAGTGTATTGAATAAGACGAAAATAGCACCAGCCAAACAATATATAGATGGAGTCTCTGCTGACAAACATAATCTGGTGTTGCAGAGACTGGAGTTGTCTGGAGCAGAACATTATTACTTCTAAATCCAATAGTTTCTTTAACTTGTTTCTTGCTGTGGAATAAACCATAATTAACCCAGGAGTGACTTTGCCCTAGGCACCCCAGTGTCCACACATGTCTTGCATAACCCTGGTGCAAAGAGATGTCTGTCCAGGTTGAAACCACACAATGAACTACCAAGAATGTGTAGGACGGACATGTTGCAGGATACATTTTATTAGCTAGTAGTCAGGATGTCCTTTTAGTTATTTGTAATTTGCTCAGTTCAATCTGGCTTGCTTGACATGGACATTATTTTCCAGTTACTTTTATACACTCGAGTGAGTTCCTTGAATTCAAAAAGTCTAATTTTTTGAATTTTTTGAATAGATTTGTTCCAACTTGCACAATGGGCAATTCAGAGTAAGTATGAGAAATATATTGTAGAACAAATCTTACCAGAAGACCTTCCTGACAAAAGCATCTGGGTTGTTCCATTTGACTCATTGAGTGTGTCTTTATTTATTTATTATTTGTAATTTGCCTGGTACGTGTCAAGTCCCGTCGCCTTGCTCGACGTCAACATAATTTTCCAGTTGCCGCCATAGGTTCGAGTGAGTTCTTTAAATACAGAAAGTCTATTTCGGTCATTAATTATAGACTATAGACCATATAGACAATGGCGCAGAGACAGGAGAATGTGTATGTAAGCTCGGATATTTGGCATAAGCCAATTTTGCGGTGCTCAGGCTCGCGTCAAAGTGCAAACGGCATTTTTTTTTCCTTGTGGAGCTTGCAAAAAGGTCAGTTGCTTCAACAGACAGATCCTGAAGATTTCTACTTACTGGAAATAGTGTAGATAATGCACTGGCGTTGACAGTGCAAGGTTAGAACACCTTTTTCATACTGAAGTTGTGAAACCCATACTGTGTATAGCAAGAGTCCGTGCTACATAACCTTTAAAAATACTCTGCAGTATGAAAGTGGCTGCAAAGATGGTTCATTCACTCAAGATATATGTACCTCATACGCAGATACCGGAGACATTTGTCTCCGAGGATTTTCAAACCGAGCAAAGGTCTGCATGTATGTCTTTACATAAAGGCCGTCGAACCGGCTGCAATTTTACTTCGTGTTGGTGATTGACATAAGCGCTCATGTCACTGGAGGGTTCTATTAGAGAGAAATGCGGATTTTAGACATTGCGTGAGTATTCTGTGTAACTTCCATTCGCAAGAGATATTTCGTCGTCGAGGGGGCTGAGAAATGGGAGAGAGAAAAAGGGAATGAACGTGCTCAAAGAGGGTTACTGAGCTTAGTCAGGCCGACGGAAAAGGCGAGAATTAATTTAAATTTCGGATCCGCGTGGTTCGCAAAAAAACAATGGTCCGATCTCCGATTCACCCGCAATCATCCTGATCAGCCTCATCAAGGTCATGCATGGCCTTTGTCACAAACAAGGCAGCAGCTGCAGCGTCAAAAGCCAGCGAAATACTCTATGCCTTTTATCGTCTGGTGCTGGCAACGAGCTAATGTCTGGGTGCATGAAAGGAGACAGCTCGAAAAGGGCAGCGCGGAAAGAAAATAATGATAAAAGAACAAGGATTGGCCCCGCTATGGGAAGTCCGGTGTTGCCCAAGTGCATCGCCCCTGTCTCATCGCCGTTGTATGCTGGATTTGTCCATCGAAGGAGGATCAATGTCATCTCCAGTCCAGCCAGTCCTTCGCTCTCCCTTGCTTGCCGGGCGCTCGTCGGCTCCTCGCTCTCTTACTTATTCTCCTCTCTTTCCTCCCGTGTCCCCATTCTTTTCGACTGACGCCGCCCAAAGTCCCGACTCCCGAGTGTCTTGTCACTCCTTAAGTCCTTTCCTTTCCTCCCCTCCCAACCGCCTTCTTCTAGCAGTCTTCTTCTCCTGCTTCTGGGCTTCTTTGTGCTACCCGCCGCCTGCCTGCCCGCCTACGTGCTTGGCCTCGTGCAGTCTGCCGTACTCTACCGCGGTAGCACCACAAACTATATCGTAGTGTTTGAAACTGGACCTTAAGCACAGCGTGTAAGATGGCTAGCACAGGAAGTCCGATTGAAAATCCTCTCGGAGTCAGCTATAGTCTGCTTGTCGGCCCTCTCCTCATTGGCGTAGTCGTCAATGCACTCGTCTTTGGTGTCTGCGTCATGCAGCTCATCTCCTATTTCCTCGCGGGCTATAGAGATAATTGGAAAGTCATGTGCGTCCTTTCTTTACACCTTCGCATTTCGTTATTGTTTACTGATGACTCTTGGTTACAGAGGCATGTTATCCTGGATATACATAATTGACGCATTCCAAGTCGCTACTTCTGTATCGATGTTATGGCACTACATTGTCCACAACTTCGCAAATCCCATTGCACTTGCGTCCTCACCCTGGGAATACGCCACCCTGCCCATCTTTTCGTCTCTGTAAGTCCGAACGCACTGCGACAGTGTCGTTCTATTAAAAGTTTTTACTGTTGGCACTGATGCTCACATACATGTATTTCTTCCTCTGATTTCGTGGCGTTCTTTCCATTCCACCCGTCCAATTGACGCGCTCACTTGATCCTCAACTCCTCGCTTCCTTCCCGAACCGAACATCTCGGACCCTCGGCTCTACCTTTCACCCCTTTTCACACATCCAGCGCTTCCGTACCGATTCAACACTTCATGGCGTATCGTATCATGCGCTTCTCAGGTTCCAAGCTCCTCTTCGCATGGATCTCCATTCTCTCGCTTGCACAAGCCGCAGCGGCATGCACGAGCGCCGCTAAGGGCCTTATGAGTCCCTCGATTGAAAGTCATAAGGCGATTATACCTGTTGCGGACGCCTGGCTTGCGTTGAGCGTTGCGTGTGATACAAGTATTACGATCCTGCTATTGTATTATTTGTTGAAGAACCGGACTGGGTTCGAAAGTAAGTTTTATCTGTCTTCTAGTTCTTTGCATTTCTGTTTGGTGTTTTGCGCAAGGTGTTGACTGGTTACCTTCTGTGAAGGAACAGATTCGATTATCTCGAGAATATGCACAACGACTGTTCGGGCTGCTGTTCCTGTTACAGTTCTTTGCGTACGTTCCTTTTCGTCTGCTTCTATCGTACTTCTTACTAATGTTTATTGTCTGACTACGTAGATTCTCGACTTATGCTTCCTCGTACGCCTTATTCCGAACGTATTTTCCGCGAGTATAAATTCTGATTTGGATTCTGGCAGACTACGACACCGAATAACAACTTACATTACATGTTCGCCTTGCCCGTCGGTCGGTTATATACGTGCGTCTCCGCCTCTCGGGCTCTCTTTGCTCCTTTTTTACTGATTTGATGTTTGGTTGCCTTTAGGAACACGCTCATGAGTGTACGTCCATTACTGGTCTCAATGAAGTTTTAAACAGGACGACTAATTAATTTTAAATCTCAATAGACGCTGAACGAACGTAAACTCTTGCGCTCGCAGATGGAGAACTCTTCTGGGAACAGGGGGATAAGCCTAGCCGTACGTTCTTCCCCCATTCATCTTTTGCCATTCCCCACTCCCTTATCACATTTGTCTCCTCGCTCTATTGTACTGACAGTGATACTGACGCCTACTTGTGCAGGCCTTAACAACATCCAAACACCGCTTCCAACGACACCCCGCCCAAGTCCGTATAGACGTAGACGTAAACCATGACGGTTCACCCAACTCACCCGTCGACCTCGACAGCGTAAAAGACAGCTTACGAAACATGCGAGGGATGACAATGGACGAAGACAAGAAACTCAGCCCGCTCGACGAGGTCTCACCAATGTCCTCCCCACGTACTCCAATCAGCCCGAGTCAAGCGCATGTGGTGAACGTGTTGCCTAGAGGGAACGGATATGGGATGAGTGAACGATCACAGATGCATGGTGGTGGAGAGGGGAGTGGGAACGAAAGTGGAGAGGAGAGCGGTGTGATGGAGAGTGGAGGTGTTAGGTTCGAGAGGGCCGGGTATGGGTATTGAGAATCTCACTTTTGCCTCTCCTCTTTCTGCCTTTTTTTTAATTAAAAACTTTTCTTTTTACCGATGAATGGTGGATGACGGATGCGAATAGATGGAGGGATGAAAGAAAATAATAATCGACGAAGAGAAATTTGTAATTTGTTTTCCCTTGCTTTATTTCTTGCTATTTTCTTGTTCGCCCTCTCACCCGTTCTTGTCTGTCTTTTCTGTTGTTTATTTAGCTTTATAGCTTTAATTTGGAGTTATATCTATCCCCATCCCTTCTACTGCCGACTTGTCTTGCTGTTGTGTGATTGTGGAAGTAAAACTTTCGTTCGTTCGTACATATAATATCCGTTCTTTATTCTTACATTGGTCGTTCATTTATTTGGGCTATGTACCTGCTCTGCTTTGGAGATCGAGCAGAGTTAACGTATTATAATATATGTTATGCAGAAAAAAATAAAAATCACTTCGTTGAATACCCTTTGGTTTATACGGTCACGTCTTCTCAGAGACAATACAGTTAGAAAGCTTGGATATTATACAACAACCCAAAGAGCCCTTTAAAAACAACCATGCATTATGGTAAAAATTCATACCAAGCCCTCACGGTTCAGGAAGTGAAATGCAAAACATCAAACCCACGACCATACGCCCTCTTCCAATCAAACTCGGGAGAATGGTTCTCCACACCGAATGCGCGTATAAGGGCTGCGCGTTCAGAGCCGTTGGAGCTGATGGAACGTGCAGTGAGACGAGACTTAGAGGTAGCGCCTTGACCCCAAATTAGCCAATTCTCTGTATTGCCTTTCTGTTCTTCGTGTTCTTCTATGTTCTCGTTCTCTTCCGCTTGTTCCTTGGCATTTTGTTGAACTTGAATAGGTGGAGGCCTTGGGGCGGGTGTAAGGAACGTCCCGATTGAGCGGAACGTCAGGCTGATACGTTCCCTGCCGAACGCGAGCTCGGGTGGGGTAAGGAGGAAAGGAGCGCGACGGTCTTGTCTGATGCTATGTAGCCAGAGACGGTTTGTGGTGAGGCCGAGGAAGAAAGCAGAGTTATGAGGCAGCGGGATGCGTTGGACAGTTCGGTCTGTTGTTGCAGAAGCGTCTTCGTCAGCGTGCTTGTTATTATATTTGTGAGGCTTCTTGGTGCGTAGTGTCATTCTGCGTTGGGCTCCGAGGGACACGCTGTGAAAAACGAAAATGCGTCATTAATTAAGAGCCTTTTTAAGATTTTAAATGGCAGAATACATACTTGACGATATAAGTCCCGTGAATGACATCGATCGTCTTATCCGCGTGTTCTGAGATATAATCTTCACCTGTGCGGTAGCGTTGTATCAGCACGTGGTTGAGCGGCGCGTGGGTCGATGGTAGAAGTCGAGAGACGTGTTCGCGGATAAAGTCTACCGTTGGAGAGAACGGATGGAGTGGGGGTGACTCGTCGGCTGGGTGACGGTAGATCGGGACACTGTGTAAAAGGATCATGGATTATATCAATCAGGATGTCAGAAACCCATAAATAATACACGCGTACGTTCCGTCTTCGTCCACCGTGCCCTCGACTGCAACAAGCCTTGGAACCTCTCCACCTTATCAAGAGCATCGCGATTTAGCGAGCCGTGTCAGTTACCCTTTACGGCAGAGATGGGTCTGTTCCACACACCACGATGACTCATTGTATTCCATTTCACCTCGTTGCATAGACGTTCAAACGACCCTTCGAGCACATCCGGTGGCAGAACGTCTTGGACAAGGAACGTGTCGCCTGCACCGTAGCGCTCTTTTCCGGCGCGTTCTGTAATTTGAGATTCAGGGTAGGCGTCAATGGCTGGTTTATTAGATGGTCTGGTGGTTGTAGCCATGTTGTCAAGCTTCAGGAGGATTGGACAACTCAAGTACAGCTTGTGAACTAGATATATAGCAAAATTTCAAGGCGCAAGAAAAGTCTTCTTGCTGCGGGTTTGTTCAAGAAGGTTCCAATATGGATGACTCGACGGAAGGCGCTGACTCGGACGGGCGCAGATATTGTGGCAAAGCGTCAAGACATATCAAGCGGAGTTGCACTGTAAATGATCGATGCAGAAGCGATACTAGATAAGCATTAGTCTAACAACACTTTTCTGCGCAGCAAACCAGAGGCTGCAGTTACTAGTCATGCATTTTGCCTTTATCTTGACGTGCAATCATGTTCGTCGCAGGGTCGTAGCAACTTGGGGACGGAGTGCACCTGACCTGTAGTCAATGCTGTCTGCAGCTGGCTCTGGAGCTGCGGAAACACGCAAACTACCATGTCAGAGTGATAAAATACTCCAATCCAAAAATCCCGACATCTTTCCATCCATTCCTCAATCCTTCTTGTCATACCATTGTCTACGATGTTTGCTAATGCTAATGCCTTCTGCCACTTGAAGTTGACACTGTCGTGACTATTTGATCTGGGGCTTTGAGATACGCACCACTTTAGTGGCTTGCCATATTTATGAATAGTGAACTACGTGGGGTTCGGAAATTATATGACTTAGCTATCCGTCAATCTGGCCGTCTTGCGTCTCCAACCTTATCCTCTCTCTCGATCGGTTCGGGTCTTGCAAGCGACACTTGACTTCGATCACTGCCCTAGACTTTGTTTTATGGTTTTGTATAGGTACACCAATGCCTCCAGCGTGGAACAGGGTTTGCCGCTCTTGGATAGCATGCTTCTTTCGGAATATCCACGATTTATCCGACCCGGCTTAAGGCGTCGATATCGCGAGCTTCCTTCTGTTCTCCCTGCCTTGGACTTATGAAGAGCGCCACGGTCGTTGTAACTCCCCATAATGTCTCTGCTGCTGCTGCATCCTTCGTAACACACGCAAAACTTTCCCTTAAGAAGCGCCACTAGCCATGACAATCGAGGGGCATGGCATGCTACTTGGAACGACTCTTCAGCGCCGGTAGTGTCTACTTATGCCTCACTCTACTCTGGAATTCCCTCGTGGTTGCTCTCAGTCTCCCTTACGCTTACTTCCCGTACCGGTCTCCACCTAATCAACATAGGAGGGGATGCCAATCCCTGTCTCTTTACTTGGCTCGTCGTACCAGCTTGTCGTTGGTCCACTTCTTATTGGAGTCGTTGTCAATGCGCTCGTTTTCGGAATCTGCGTCATGCAACTGATCGCGTACTTTCTCTCGGAATTCAAGGACAATTGGTGGATACTGTGAGCTTTATCTTGGTGTTTTTAATCTAATAACATCTCAAGCATTGTTACAGGGGGATGTTATGCTGGATCTACGCAATCGACACATTCCAAGTGTGCACATCTGTTTCAATGCTCTGGCATTACACCGTTACGAACTTTGCCAACCCCATTTCGCTCGCATTCGCCCCATGGGAGTACGCCACAGTACCTGTATTTTCGTCAATGTGTGTATACACCTCTACCTCTCAGTGATCTATTTATGTTCTAGTTTCGGACTGACATATGATCGTATTTGGTCTTCCATTTATCTGGATTCTCGATCGCCCCATTGTCCTCCGTCTAAAATTTGCAATGGAACTGAAATTCAATATTTACCCTATGTATCAGTGCACCTGTCCCGATCCATTTCTTCATGGCCTACCGCATTATGCGCTTCTCTCGTTCAAAGCTCCTATTTGTTTATATCGCGGCATTGTCATTGGGTCAAGCCGTATTAGCGTGTGCAGGCGCCGCTCAGGGTCTGACACATACTACGATCCAAAGCCATATTATGCTTGTCCCAACCGAGGTTGCGTGGATTATATTGAGCATCTTATGTGATTTGAGCATTTCCGGTTTATTGTTATACTATTTATCGAGGAGCCGGACTGGATTTGAACGTGCGCATTCCATTCCCTTACCCTCCTATACGCAAGCTAATATATGGTTTGAAATTGTTTCTGGATTGAAGGGACAGACTCGATCATTTCGAGAATATGTACAACGATCATCAAGGCTTCTGTACCAGGAACCATTCTCTGTGTATGCCTTCTTATATGAATCAAAAATACGCAATATTGAGCAGCCTTCATTTTAAGATCCTTGACCTGTGCTTCCTTGTGCGTCATATCATGTCCTATCTCTCCCATTATGCTATCTAACATGTCATGTTGTTAGATGACGATGCCAGACAACAATTTGCATTATATGTTCCTGCTGCCTGTCGGACGGCTATACACGTGCGTTCATGCCTCTTGCTGGTCTTTTCATATTTGCTAATCAATCGTTTTCGCGTCTAGGAACACTGTTCTCTGTGTGCGCATCAATTTAACAATCTAGATATGCTTGGAAATTATGACTGACGTGATTGGCCCGACTGGGAATAGACACTGAATGAACGCAGACGGCTTCGCTCGCACTTGGAGAACTTGACGTCGAACCAGCAGGGCATTAATCTTGCCGTACGTCCACCTCTCTCTTATTCTCCTCTTATTCCCTTCCTCAACTGTTTAATGTATTTTCCCTCGTCTTCACCGAACGTTCCGATGACGAATTTGAAATGCTGATATATCACCTCCACAGACGATTGCTTCCTCGAGACGCCACCTCCAACGGAACACTATGCACGCTCATTCTGACGTGGACGAAACTCTCGATCAGAATGGACCATTAGACCTCGAGAGCATACTCACTGGTCTTCGAATGATGAAGGCTGGCGATGGCTTCGTTGATATCAAGCTTGGTCCACGCGAAGGATCGTTGGAAGATCAATACGTTACGGTCAATGCGCTGTTGCGTGGGAATGGATGTAGGACTCAGAGTACTGGTAGTACAGAAGTGGGGGGCGAAGAGGCAGAGAGCGTGCAGGTGAGGTTTGAGCATGGTAGTTCTGTGACGTGCGGGGATAAGGTCTCCACCGGAGAAGGAGTTGGTACTGACGATTAGGTGCAATATGACTTCCCTACTTCCACCCCTTTTCCATTACTATAGTCATTGTCATACCCCTTAATCAACACCCGCACTTCTGGGCCTTGGTACATTACTTACGGTATTATTACAATCATTCCCCATCCTCGTATCTGCCTTCTCTTGAATCGGACTGTAAATATCGTGGAGTAGACACTGTACTTTTTTATTAATCAATGTTCTTGACGACTTGGAGACCAGTTTTTCACTCTCGTATTAGAATATGAGAGTCTACCTCGAGAGTCCTGGCCGATACGCCGAGGAGTCCGTTACTTATGTATGCATTCTTGCACAGTTCAGCACCTTAGGCATATTTGGAGCATTGATAACTGCTGATGCTTGGCTTGTGGCCGTCAACACCGATCCAAGCGATCTGAACTCGCTTTACCTTCATGACGACCTATGGCAGCTGAATATGTCAATGGCGCGCTGGGTATCGGGAGGGTCGATTGGACGTTCGGAGGCGTTTATCAGAGAGACATCGGTTTCTCGAGTTTTCTTACCGATAGCTATGCCGCAGAAGAACGGGACTACGTGGAGATCGAGGAACATAGGGGCTTAAAAGACGTAGCAAATGCAGGAGAGGGTCAGAGGAGGAAAGACGTGTTGTCAAGCCAAAGCTGTATTGCTTGATCATGTTTAATATCATTAGGATTTCATTAAAATACCTGGCCTGAGAAACGGTTTAAGCGCGGAATTCCTACTCCCTTCATTAAACCTCTAAACTACAATTTCCGGTACACCTATCGACGACATTGGGAGAGATGTACTTCAGCTTGACTTCATCAGATGTCTCAACTCACCGCTCTTCATCACATCACAGAGAATCCTAGAGTCAAAATAAGCTTGCAGGATAGGTGTCTCTAAATGCTGTTCAAGAAGTAGATCTCTCTTAATTGTTTTTACTTTTTGCTCGCCTTCTGTTAGGAAACGGGGTATCTGGATCCTGGATACAATGCGCAGCGAGTTCGCAGCGCACAGCCGGTCTTCGCGGAGCTCATATTTGAACCACTCCAACGCCCTCGTTGATTCGTAGCTTCTTGTCCTCATGATGGGATCTTTCGTATGTGATTTTTGATCCCTGAAATAGGAAGAAGATGCGCCTCCTCGTCCCAAGAGGCTCCTGGCTTCGGGAAGTTGCGGTCGATCAGCATCAGCATTCGATTTGCTGGATATCCTTAGTGTTAGAACTTTCCGTATGTTCCGCTTCTGGATGTGAAGTCCCATCGTTCAGCCTTCCTGGCGTCGAGTCTCAGGTTGGTGAATAGTTGTGGTCTGTTCTCTCAAGAGGCGCATTACCTTCGATTTGGCGCTCTGGTGCTAGTAGTTGTTTCTAATTGACAGGCATCAGGGATCCTGGAGATGGTTTGTCAGTATTTTGTTTGTGGTGGGCGTCGGAGCAAGCTTTAGGAGTGATATTGATGAATGACTTGTCGATGCGGAGGCCGGGTCCGTTCGGCTCATGAGATTGCCCGAAAAACTTGCTTCGAATAGAGGAATTGTTCATCCTAGAGAAACCAGATGAGACGAGACGAAACCATGTAGGACATGCCAGTGATTAGTGAGGCCGAGACGCAAAAGGAGTTCAATGCACTTCATTTCAAGATCCCTATGGGGTCTAGGCCTTTAATCTGATGTGCAACTGTCTTGATTTATCGATTGTGGTCGAATACGTTATGTTGCTGTAGGACTTCATACTTCATTCACATTAATATTACCCATAAAATTTAATGAAGCACTGCTGTTGCGCTGATCTCGTACTTCTGGATGCATAATCGGACGAATGCCCGCTGATCGCCCTATATTTACAGTGCATGAGAAAGAGTACGAGAGTGCAGAGCACGAAGATAAAGAAACGCTCTTCTACTTACCTACGCTCGGAGGTATGTCGTAAGGTGTGCGGACCGCCCGAGGACAACATATGCTTCCGAGATAAATTAGTCCTATCTGGATAAGCGGAATGACTTGGCGAAGTGAAAATTGAATTACGGTGCGGGAAGCAAAGTTTAGCAAATGATCTTCACGACGCCAATTCATTCGCCATCACAGAAACCAGTCTTTGTGCCTCCGAGAACAGAGCATCAACAAGACGGGATGAACCAAAATGCGTTGGCCAATTGATCTGTCTCGAAATGCGGGATGCGACTGGAAATCGGCCTTCGGGAAGCAAAAGGAACTTATACCAACGCTTGCACGCGTAATTGAAATGCAGATCAAAATTGTAAAGAATGTGCATTGGGGGCTTGATTGGATCAAGAGGATCCCTGGTGCGCAGTGTTGGTTCCTGGGAGCAGCCAGCATGACTGCTTCAGCTTCTCATCTTCCAATTTACTCGGAAAGAGAAAAAATTACGAGAACATTCGCGGGGAGGTCAATGGGTGAGAGCCTTGGGTTGGATTTAGTGTGAGGACAATGACACGAAATGTCACCGCGCCAGGAACTTCACAAAACCCCACATAGGTACAATAGAATCGAGACTCGGAATCAACGAGAGATAGAGGTGGCCTATGAGCGCGACAGTGGGCGTCAAATGGCGTTGTGATGGGCACAAAGGTTTGAGATTGGGTTTTGTCGCCTCAAGAAATGAATTGGCTCGTGGGATTCACGCGGCGTTCTGATCCCTTGATTGTAGCCGATTCGCAGGGATCACCAGCTTTCCTTAATCGGGTAAATGACTTCCCTTTTTTGCTCGTCGGCTCGCGTCCACGACGCTCACCGCGAAGTTGTATAAAATCATCCATACTCAAGCACTCTTTCAAACTCATTACGGGCTTCTCCCCCCTCTTTGTCCTCCCTTTGTGCCTCCCTCTGTGTCTCGTTTGCACTTATAACGACCGACCACTCGAACGACACTACCTAGTCAACAACTATGCAGCCCACTCTCGCACTCTCCGTCCTCGCCTTGCTTATTACTCAAGGTATGCATCTCTGCTCAAATTCGCGTCTCGTATTTCGATATTGAATTTTTCATTTCCGACGCAGCATCGGCCCTCACTTCTCCTTCGTTGCTCGCCCGCCAGTCCGCAGGTGGGCTTGGACTCGGCAGTATCCCAGACGCTGTACGTCCCCACCTTCCCCTATACATTTCACGCCCCACGGTCTAAGATTAGATTTAAGTGCCAGGCTACCTGTAGCCCAATCGAGACAACCATCAACGTGCGTCCGCTGACATAACTTTACTTATCTCCTGCTCTTATCTGAAACGCTGGAACTGAAACGTACATCAATCCCGTCCCCAGAGCTGCCAGGACCTGTCGTGCCTGTGCAACAATACTGTTGCGAATCAGATCGCGGACTGCGCCAACTGTCTTGTCGCCGTTGGTGGTGATCAGGCCAGCTCCTTGCAGACGCAGGAGCAGAGCATAATTGACCGTGTGTATATCAAATGTTATGCTACAGTGGCTTTTTGTAACTATATTGACTATTTGATCTTCAGAGTACACGAATGCATGCGCAACTTCCGGCGAGCCCATCTCATCTATTAAGGTCTCCTCCGTTGCGCCTACAGCCACTGGGTCAGGTTTGGGCTCGAGCTCGAGCTCGATAGGTCTGGGCTCAGCACCCTCATCTACAACGTCAGCATCAGGCTCCTCTGGTTCAACCGGATCGAATGGCAGCATGCGAACGAATGCAGGAGCTGTAGGAGCTATTTTTGCGGGACTGCTCGCACTCGCGCTTGCATAAAAAATCAAGCCGTGGCAATGATGCACGACTGGTATCCTTTCGAGCTTTCCTCTCTGTACAGACACTTTAGTCCTGTTCGAATCTGAATGCGACGGCGTCACACCTCTGCTAGTCATTTCTACGTTTGTGGATGATGGAACCTTTGTATGACATGCATGCCTTCTTGTATATTTTCTTTGCACATCTCGCTTTCATTTTGTATCTGTCTTGATTTTATATGAGTACATAGAACTATTCTCTGCTAGTAGACTAGAATCTAAACCTGTAATTCCTCGAAAACGAGCGGCACATAAACATTTTATTGAATTCAAATTCCAAAAACTTTCACTCAGACTTGGAGGAATCAGGAGGATCGACAGACTCTGACAAAGGATGAATTTATCAGCACCTTGTCAGAGGCATCTATGTGCTGTTGTTTGCTTCAGTTTGGGCCAAATAATGACTGGTCAGTCACCACAACTGCTGTTGCCAGCCTTTGCACAGAAAATTCAGTCCTCAGAACTTGTCACATATCAGTTATGGTCTCTATGAACTACTGTAAGTCTGCTGTCTGCTAGAGTTGAAAGTCTCTTTGTCTTGGTTTCAATAGTGTTTTTTCTCTTTATGTGTTACTTAACTACACTAACACAATCAGGCTTCCTATAGGCATCTGAACAACCTTGCACATTCCAAACTGTGTTCTAGAACTCTATTTCAGCTGATTAGAACTGCTACTTACTTGGATAGAAGATTAGATTGTGTTAATCTAATAGCTTAGAGGTTTAGAAAGTGTTCTATGTAATTACTTACAAGAAGTTGTATAGTAACCCTATTCTTTAAAGAACCTAGGTCCTTCCCTGCCAGGTTTATGTTGGTTATCAGCTCTTTCTATCTATCAGAAGTTTGAACAAGTGTAATCTGAACCAAATCTTCTTTACAGGCTATTAAACAGAGATATACTAATTACTATTATAAGTTCTAAGGTTGAATAGTTTATCCTCTTTATTAATGTCTTACATAGAGCTACTAGCTTTATACTAATTATAGTAAGGGAACAGTACTAACTGTGTCTGTTATTGTTAGAAAGCTAACAGCTTGTACTTTCAGACTAGTGTTAGTAACAGTGTAGAAGGGACTTAAAGGCTTAGTAAGAGGACCCAGACTATAACTATTCTACACAACAGAAATACAGGACACAAGTACTAGAACACAGTCAGAACTTGTAGAATAGGTAGAAAGAGAGAGTAAGACAAGTGTAGAGTATATAGAGTAAGTCTAAGAGTACAAAACTATCTAGAGTAGACAAGATTAAGACTATAAGACTAGTCTGATCTTATATACTTATATATACTAAACTATACAAGAGTACTTAGGGAACAATGAGTTACAAAGAATGATAAGCTATAAAGAATAAAGAAAGAGAGGGTCACAGATAAGTGTACAAAGAATGAAGGGGTGGACAAAGGGTAAGAGACTTTAGAATAAACAAAGAATGAAAGAGTAGACAAAGGAACAGAATAATAAAGTAAGAGGGGTAGTAATAAGAGTTATAGAGAGAGTTAGTCTGTATATAGTCTATAAACAGTACACCTGAGGGACAAAAGTCCTAAGTTCTAGTATAGAAGAGTGTAGAACCTGTAAAACTAAGAGTATAAGAGTAGTAAACTGTAACATTACCTCTCTTTAAAACTGATTGTTCTAATTAGTAAACATTAGACTTAGTTAGTAGCTCAGACATAAGTTAGAACAGTAGGGTTTAGAAATCTGTAAGACAGAGTTAGTATAGAGTACTTAGATGAAGTTGATAAAAGTCTTAGATTGTGTTAGTATAAGTAAGATTCTTAGTAGGTTCTTAAGTATATTCTTTAACTAGGTACTCTTTCTAGTAGACAAGGAACTTAAGCTTTCTATATACTAACTTAGTATCTACTATGTACTCTACTTTGTATTCTAGTTTAGAACTAATAAGTTCTGGTAGAGGTAGTAAGGGTCTTTGTTATAAAGGAAAACCTAGGTTATAGTACTAAAACAATAGAACCTTGTTAAATACTAAGTGTATATACTTCTAGATTGTTAGAAGTTAAAGTTTGTAAGTAGAGACACTAACCTTCTTCTTAATAATAAAGGGTCTGAAGTACTTGTTGTCCAACTTCTTTATTAGACAATTCATAGTCAGATTAGTAGCTTCTAGTATAACTTTGTTACTAGGCTAGTAATTCTTAGTTATAAACCTTTTCTAATTATAGTTCTACTTTATAACCTATACTACCTTCTCTAAAAGAGCTTGTGTGTCCTCTCTAGTCTTGTACATCTGTTCTGTAAAGTCTGTTACAGATTCAGAACTACTGTTCTAACTTAAAACTGTCCTCTAATATAAATACCTTTTATAGTTAAGGAAGAACTAAGACTGTCCTATTGTAAGGATTTGATTTACTGGTTTGTATTTTATTATTACTACATTGCTGATTGTGTCAGATCATTGTACAGTAGGACCCACAAGCACATATATTCTTATTGTAGTTAGTTACACTTCCTCCTCATGTATCTACATGTGTACTACCCTATAAAAGATAGTATCAATCACTAGGTAAAGGGGATTCTTTTCCCCTGACCCCTCACTTGAGTACTAGGTTATCCCAGTCAGTAGTTGAGTAAACTAAGGGCAATTAGAATTCTCTTGTAAGGAACAGTAAGTTTCCTTACATATTTTTGACTGTACCCACCTAGTACTGAAACCTCTTGCTGGATGCTGAGGAACTGAAGGGTCTGATCAACCCTAGGTCTCCCTCATTGTCTAGTACCCATTAGAAAGTTTTAGTGAGTAAAGTTACAATTTTTGAGTAGAAACAGAGACTACTTACTAGATTAGCCCCTAGTAGGTTCACAATGCTTTAGAATACTGTAGAACACTTCTAGAACACATTAGCACATATTAATATAGACTAGTACTAGATACACTAAAGGTTTGCATCAATCAGATAGGTTGAGGACCAGGCATCTGTGACAGTAAAAAGGAATAAACAGGTGTGTATTAAGTTTACAGACAATAGACAACAAGATTACCTATTGGATATTGATTACAATGTGGCTGCCAAGCCTTGACAAACAATTCCCAGAGGGTACCCAAGTCCAGATATTAATACTAACATGCTAGGATGTAAGTCCTTGTCCCTTGTAGGCTGGAGGCAACCTAATAAACCTATACTAGGTGATAAGTCCTTGTCTACACAAGGCTAGAGGCACCCTAATAAACTAGTACATACTAATAATGTAGAACTAAGGCATGTAACTGTACCAGTGTATATAGTTAGACAAACACACACTATAGAGTAGACACTAGTAAGTATTAACACTATTAGGCTTACAGGAATAGTAAATAGTAGTACAAAGAGTGGAAACACTCAGACAATTGGATTTGAGGATTCATCCAATTGAGTACAGAAGGTTGAGTTTGAGGAGTCAACTCACTAAGTACAGGTGATTGAGCTTGAGGATTTGCTTGATTAATTTCAGGCTACTGAGTTTGAGGATTCACTTGATAGAGAACAGGCAATTTGGTTTGAGGATTCACTAAGTTGATATAGAGAGCTAACAGTAAGTATTAAGAAATTTGCCAGCTAATACAAGGAGTACATAGTGTATATAGTCAGTATTAGTGAGAGTGTGGATAAGTATCTAGTAAGCACACTTACTTCAGAACAGAAACACATTGACAACAGTGATGTAGAGGGTAATGAGACACCTAAGACCCTTTTAGACAGTGAAGAAAGTAGTCAGGACTCAAAGAACAAGAGTAACAAAGGCTAGGAGAGCTAAGTATTAAAACTATAGAGAATTAATAAGGAACAAGATTTCCAGAAGGCAAGTAAGACCTTCAGACACATTGTAAGAGCCAGAGCAATTAAGATAGACATAGGACATGTCAGCCCATTCCACAGTTTGATAGACATCAAAGATTTGAATAAGAGAATGTACAAGTTTGACAGAATGTATTAGGAAGAGGAGAAAGCAACTCCTTTATTAAACAAGAGCAGACTTGATAGTATAGTAACAGAAAAGTGTGAAACACTTCAGGCAGGCTACAGAACAAAAGCCAGACATGCTACAGTACCTACAGACAGTAGAGATCAGAACTATCAATCTAAGAGTGTAGAAGAAACACTCAAGAGTCTAGACAAATGATTGTATTTGTAGAAAGTGAAAGGAAAGTGCAAAGTAAAAGGAAAACACAAAGTACAAGGAACAGAACAAAAACCAGAACTGTCAGACATTCAATACAATTGTGAAATTGATTCAGACTATCCTAGCAAAACAGACATTGTATTGACAGAACAGTACTTTGAGGATAGTAAAAGTGAATACAAATTGGAACTACAAGGATTAGTACTTGATCTAGAGGGTGAAAACCAAGTATACACTCACAAAATCAAGTGTTTAACCTCATACATGGTAGATATTAACTATACATTACACAGGAGCAATGTACAGGACTACTACAATAGATATGACACCCTAGCCAGGTTCAGGAATAAGAGAGAAAGTGAAATACCTGGATATATGTAGTCTTAAATAGAAATACTGAGTTTTTCAGGACATCAGAGTACCCCTCACAAAAATAAAAGGAACAAACAATCCTATAGCAATACTTCACAATTGAAAGCAGTCCCAGGCAAGGCATACACTAGTAGTATTAGTGAGAACAATATTGATTTAGAGCACAGCAAACTATACAGTTCAAAGCTACATATCAAGTATAGTAAGTATAAGAATAGCTCAAACAGTAGTTTAAGGACAAACAATGGACACAGGCATAGTAAAGTACTGAATAATGTTCAGAAAGGCAGATTTGCATTAGTAAGACCTTCAGAGAGCCTAGCAAAGAATAGTTACACATACAGAGCAATACAGAGCTCTAGGATACAGAGAAAGGGAAATTTCAACCTAGGATCAGACCCAGACAGTAATAATTCGGATTCCTCTTCATCCAATGACAACAATCAAAGTAATGCTTTATTCAAACTGTCAGACATTGATTTGAGTAATACTGAAGCTACTAAGAAGTGTAAGAAACACTTGAGGAAGAAACAGAACACAAGTTCAGACATACAAACTATGTATTTGAAAGGGTAAATTCAGTATATTTGAGACCCTATGAGACTATAGTACTTAAGCATTGTACTACAGGCATTCAGTACAGGAATAAACATTGTAGGAAGTCTAAACATTGAGATAGACAATTGTATAGTGTATACAATAACATTTTACACTCAAAAGCACAGGCATACAGTGTAGAAAGGATTCTACAAGACTACAGATACACATGGTACATAGAAAGGACTAGGAAACACACAT